GTCCTCTAGAAGACTCTTGTACCAAGAATGTAGGGTGCCTTTGATTTGGGATGCAAACGCAATTAAAGGGATTGGCCTGCCTGCAAAACAAGTGGGCATTCACTGCCCAAGAGATTCTCACAAGCCAAGCACTCAATTTGTTCTCCAAGGAAATGGGTCACTTCACAGAGGGCAGTAGCCCTGGGAACAGACTTCCCTGTTGATCTTAACACCCAGGCAGGTCAGTGTGAGAGTTCGCACATGAAGATGATGTACAGATGGTACACGACACCATCCCAGTTAGGGAAAATGTACAAAACTAGTTCAAATATATGTTGGAAGTGTAAGGAAAAGGAGGGGACATTTTATCACATGTGGTGGGATTGTATGGTAATTTTAAAAAATTGGGAAATGATATACAACGAATTGAAGAAAATGTTCCATTTAACATTTGTTAAAAAAACAACAACCATGAGAGTTTTAATAGCACAAGGATGGAAGACTGAAGAAACCCCAACTAAAGAATCATGGCAAGAAAAATTGATGGACTATGCAGAACTGGCAAAACTGACATACAAGCTACGGGACAAGGATAACTGTGGCTTTAAAGATGAATGGGAACCACTTACAAAGTATTTGAAGACGCAACAAAGCAAACTGGACTCCTTGGCTGGCTTTGAATAAACATTCACAAACTTTTTATAGATAATAATCAGCTAAATAGTTTGAGGATCTATACAACTGTATAACATGCAGAAAACAGCATTTTTAGAGAAATCAAAGACTGGAACTGAGGGAAGTCGGGGGTGGGGGTGGGTGGGTTCTGTGGGGGGAGGGAGGGGGAGGGAGGAAAAATGGGGGGATAAGGGTGATATGTCTCAGGATAATATGTTTTGTTTTAATTTTGAATTTTAAAAGTTTTTTAAATAAAACAGTGTGAGAGTTCGCACTCCTTCGGCTATAGATCTGAAATTTTGATCTAGCACTATATAATTGTGCCAGTAAAGAACACCAAAGGCATTTCAAAACATCCCTCATTATGCCATACTTTCTTCATGCATGGGCTCTAGTGGTCTGTAATAGCCATTTGAGTTTTCACCCATAGATTTGTCTATCTATGGAAAAAGAGAATGATGCTTGTAGGAAAAGGGGGGCAAGAGAGAGAGATTTGTGAATCTTTAGATTTCCTCCTTCTCCAGTCCACACAAGGAAAAGAGGAAGTGCTGTGCTTTGTCCACAGGGAGGCAGCAAATGTCTATGCACTTAAGGAACAAAGTGATTTTCCAGCTCTGTTTGCCTTGGCCAAGAAAAGAAATAGAAGATAAGTGAGGGGGGTTATCAAATCCAAAGAATTACAAAGAATGTTTTTAAAAAAGTAACTTTCAGCTAAACCTGCCGATCTCCCATTTCTGCTGGTCAACATTTTAACTCGAGAACCATAATTGTTTTAAATCCAATTAATAAAGGTATTAAAAATATATTTCTTCTGGCTTAGCCAATCCACCACAGAGCTTTCCCAACTAAATAAAAGCAAGAGTAACGAAATTGCAAAACATAAAAAAGGGAAAAAATAGAAGAGGGAAGGAAATATTGCAAGAAAGACTATAAGGAGAATTATTAGTTAATGATAATTAAGAGTAATAGAGAAATTAAGAAATGCAGAATAAGTGATAAAGATAAAAAAATCATCAGAGGTGTTGACGGAAGTCTAAAACATTGTATAAGATACGAAGCTATGTTATATGATTGTTGGAAATGATATGTTAAAAAATCCAATAAAATGTATATATATATAAAAGAGAACCATAATTGTTTTGACCTCCTTATGATCCATCTACATGTTATGACTGTTCATTGTGGAGCCACGATCACTCCACCTTAATGTGGCTGATGGGGGTTTGGAAAGTTGGGGGGCAACACATGAGCACATCGACCACTCTGAAGCTCCTTGTGGTTGCTTTTGGATGAGCACAATTTTTCCATCAGGAACTACTTCCAATATGACATTACATCATCATTGCTCCTGAGGGCTGTTGTTGTTGTTGTTATTCTTCATATGCCACCCTTCTTTTTCAGCGGAGGGAGTTCCTCAAGAAGGAACTTCAGAGGCAGTTAATCTCCCCCCCTCAATCCCTGAATTTTGCTGGGAGTATTGGCCCTCCCATCAAAAATTCAAGCCAAAATCTTTTGGCTCAGGATGAAAGAACCTCTGTACATCAGTCGTAACATATATAGCTGGCCATTATATGGATTGCCACTATTGCTTGGTGAGTTTCCAAAAGTGGTGCTAACTGATCAGGCAAAATGCAGCAATCCAACTCTGGCCCTGCAGCTACCTGTGGGCTAATTTCCCAATTTTTCTGTCTGGGTAAAACCCAGGAATTTGACCATGTGGGCAGACTTTGAGGACGCAAAAAGTCAGTAGCATCATATTGCACTCTATGGGTGCCATGGCCCCAATTGCCAGCAGCTCAGACACAGAGAGTGGGGGATTAGTGAAGCAGATTGAGGAGACAACCCCTGAGTCTGCAATAACCCATGACTGTAGTCCTCATCCTTAGTCACACTGGAGGACTGTCATTTTCACTCAACAGACCCACGCCTCACAGATCCCGTTTGCTGAACCAGGAAAATAGGGTGGGTGAGAAAATATGAAGAGGCCACAGAGTGCTGGGCTGACTCTTTAAGGCTTTGCAGTCCTCAAAAAGTGGATGGAGCTAGAGTCAAGTCCAGAAAATATGAAAGGGCTCAGTTGGGACTGAGCTTTCATTGGAACAACATCTTTACTTGCTGAGCCCTGTCCATGGTTCTGAAAAGCCTGCATCAAGCTGCTTTTGTTTAATAATAATAAGAATAAATTTATTTATATACCACCCTCCCCAGCCAAAGCCGGGCTCAGAGCAGCTAAAATCATACAAGTAAGACAATACATAAAAACAAGCAATTAATAAATTAAGATACATCCCACAATTAATTCAAACAAATTTAAATTAAAACTGGACAAGTGGCAATCTTCAGGTTAAAATTGAAGGCGGTTACCAACTGTTTCCACTGATATTATAAGCACCTGTGATCAGGCTGGGAAGCTCCTTCGTGCTTGTTCTTATACAAAGAGAAAATGAGTCAGACTGAACCCTGACCAAAGGCCTGGCAGAACTAATGGGAGGTAAGGTCTGAAACTCAAACACCACCTGTTGGTTTCCTGCTCATCTTTCCCTCCATCCCTAACTGCTTGCTGGACCTGCATCATCTCAACCTGTCCACAGGCTCCACCTTGTGAGAACCAAGCAATGAGCATGCTTAGATTACATACCTGTTATGTACTGAGTTGAATAGGATACAAATTGCAGCAGTCTGATTGGTCCTAGAACAATAGGATTCAGAATGCAGCAGTCTGATTGGTCCTAGAACAATAGGATCCAGAATGCAGCAGTCTGATTGGTCTGCAGGAGCCACCCAATCCCACTCCAGGTGGAAGTGAATCCGCAACCTGATTGGTCTACAGGAGAATCCCGGAATTAGCCAATCACGTGGGGCCCATTGTGCAAATAATGTATATAAAGCAGACAGTCCGGGGAAACTTCCATTCCTCACTACTACGAGTTGAATAAAGAGCATGAAATCCACACTCGACTCCCAAGTATTTTTCAGTACCTATCACATGCAAGCTAGAGTGCCAAATTGTTGAGCCAAGTGGCAGCATGTCATTTCCAGCTTGCTCCCTAGAATCACAGAACTCTAGATTTGGAAGTGCCTTAAAAGATCTCTTAGTCCTACGCTCTGCAATGCAGGCGAGACTGTCAGACTGGTTCCTTCACAGATGATCTCCACAAGTTCTGTTGATCTGGAGGAAGGCTGTGCGGGTCACACAACAGCACTGGTGAGGTGGCTGGTGTGGCCATGTGGAGTCTGCCCTCCCACCCACTTCCTTCACATAGCCTTGCCTCCTTCTCACTGCCACAAGCTCTTCTCACAGACCACTCCCAACTACAAGAACTTTAGGAGTCGGTGATGGTATTTCTATACCATGATCAAGAGCAAAGAAACTTCTCATACAATGACAACGATCACCAAGATTCTTTGCACATTGTAGCTTCTCCCCATTTTACCATCATGTGGGGGTGCTATGCTTTGCAGTAGTCTCTTCCCATCCTCATGTCATTTTTAATTTGTACACCACCTTTCTATGTTAAACTGCGCTCAGGGCAGTTTACAACCCATTGGAATGACAAGATGCAGGAAAAAAGCCACACAGCCATCTGTCCTGCTCTGGTCCTGCATAGAAGTCCAGGGAGCAAGGAAGGCTGGTTATATCAGTACCATGGACAGCTCTTAGTGAACAACCAGTCATATAGCTAATGGCGATACACTGTCAACCACAAAACAGCAACAGAAGAACACAACCCAAGAGAAAACTAAAACATACCGACTTTCACAACTGCAAATTATCAAATACTAAAATGATGTAGTTACCACAAATCACTTAAAAAACAAAAACAAAAACCCTTGTTAGTTGACACTATTAAGTCAAAAAAGTAGTCTGTAACATTCTATTTGCTAGAGCATAAATAGATAACAAACTTCTCTCCATCAGATAATTTTGAAATCATGCGAATTACCTTCTTAAAAAGAAAAAAGAAACTCTGTAAAGTATATAGGAATATATCCCAAGGGAAATGAAGAGTGATAAAGAGAACATTACACTGCACAATGTATTCAAACTGGTCTGATCCACAAAAGACAAGAAAGTGGTCATTAGTTGGCCTGTTAAATAATTTACTGGTCAGATATGGGATAGTTTGAAACGTGAGCTGAGTAAATACATCTCTAAAAGAAATGTAGTAGATGATAGATATGGATATAGATGATATAGATATAGATAAAGATGATATAGATATAGATATAGATATAGATATATATAGATGATGATAGATATAGATGATAGCTAGCTAGATAGATGATAGAAGATGATAGATAGATAGATAGAGAGAGAGAGAGAGAGAGAGAGAGAGAAATTTTTACTGAAGATGCCAATCTGTGGGAATATCTATCTATCATCTATAGATAGATATTCCCACAGATTGGCATCTTCAGTAAAAATTACATTGCAGATCTTACGCTAAAAAATATGATGAGATAACATTTGAGCAAATTGCCCTGATGAGAGATGGAGATTGTTAAATCTCCTAGAAAAGGAGGGCTTTAACTGGGGTGACTTAGTAAAAATGCCCTGCATGTGAGTGGGAACCATCAGCTTTCCTGGGTAAACAGAGGCTGTATGGCCGTCTGTTAGGGATCCTTTAGCTGTGATTCCTGCACAGCAGGGGGTTGGACTAGATGACCCTTGGGTGCATTCCAACCCTACAATTCTATATGTCAAAGACAGCAGCTGCATTTGGGTTGTGATCTCTCCCCTGCAATCTCTACATGGGGAACTCAGCTCTCAGCCCAATCACCATTTTTCATCCAGCTTCCAGCTGCTGACTTCCAACATCCTTGTCTCTATTTGCTAAACTTTTCAAATGAGCCCAGGCACACTGTTTCAGATTTCACAGCAAGATTACAAGCTCCATTTGTCTGATATCTTCAATATTAAATGGCAAAAAAGGCGACACAAATGCATTTTTTCATGGTCCTTTTCTTCTTCTTTTTATCCATACCTGGCAAATATGATAG